CCTGCACCCTGCAAAATATACCTGCCGCTTAGAAAGTCCAAATTCTGCCCATATTCCCACGTAAGAAAAAAGAAACGGGGAGGTAGTAATGAAATTGAAAGAAGAGTAAAAAGCTATGTGTGCGGTGGAAGAATGAAATTGAGCTAAGCATGCATCTTTTTAATTTCATTTTATTTTAGTTTGTCCTCTAAAAATTAAAAATTTCTGACCATTTTCTCTTCCTGCTAGTTCGCTGTCGCTTCCTGTCTAACTTTCTTCTGTAGCAGAAAGTCCCAACGATCATCACTAGGAACACAGTCATACTTCCCAAAGCGATACCAATTACTTTTCTAGTCGAAGTTTCTGCAATTCGAGCAAAAAACATATCAGATGTAGTAGTTACAGATTGAAGGACTTGTTAGTTTGTTTGTGGTAGATGTGCATTGATATATTTCCTGATGAATTTTCAATTATTCTATAGACGCATCATTCTTCTGGAGAGATATAGGAAATATTTTACCCCGTCGTGAAAACGCTTTAGAATCCTGTAAAAAGAACTAAAGGTTGAACCTTTGCTTTGTGTAAGTTAAAGGACGGTCGGTAGTTGAAGAAGGATAGCACGTCATAACGAACCATTTTAGTCTTGTCTGCTTTTGTGTACCAGGGGTTAAGAGTTTCTGATAGTTCGTCCTGTTTTACACGAGGCGTATAATACAGCAGACACTAATTTTGTCTGGACACGTAACACGCACAAGACACCAGATTCATGATCTCTACATCATCATTTCAGAGTATGGGGTAATAAATGAGCTGTGTTTGCACAGTGAAAAAACAACAGGAATTACCGGGAGATGGCTACTCAGAATGACAAGTCAGTTGTAGGTGGTTTGATTCTCGCAGTAAGAATAACTCCCTTGTTTGGTCCAGTTCAAAACAGAAGTATCATCGGATATCTTTTCTTAAGACTAACATGATACTGAACAACTTGGGAACAAGTTTTACAAATTACCTGGAAGTCCTGCACGCGATTCTGTTGTTATCTGCTGACTGGTTGACAGTTTGCTTTCCCCCATCTCATTCCAAGCAGACAGTGCAATTTCATACTGAGTGCCACACTGTAGTTCCCATTGATGGTGAGTCACTGAGACTGTTGTTATGTCAATTTTACTCCAGGAATCTTCCTTTGTTGCGTCACCATAAATTTGCCTGTAGTAAATAGTGCACTCAGTCAGGGGACATCGGGCATCTTCATTGACTCTCCATGTAAGATTGACCCCACAGTTTGACTTCTCCAAGTTCGTGATGACGGGTGGTGATGGTTTGGCTGTGAGAACGGTGGGTTGTAAAGAAACAAAGTACGGTAAACAACTTGTGTAATAAAGCAACTAAAGGGAAAGGGAATATAAAAGTTAAATGGAGGCATCCCCTCAGTACGAAATCGCAAATTCGAAAAAAAGCTTTTAAAGAGTGCAAATACTTCCGTTTCGTATATATAAAAGGGGAAAAGGCTTTTGCGTGGTAAACATCAACTTTACTAATTTAATTTCAACAAAAAGGGCGATGGTTTGTCCACGAAAACGAATAAACGAAAAGGAAGTTAGCTTAACAAGTGACCTAAGAATTGAACTTAATTCAGAGAATATGACACAATAAATTATTTTCTTGCGAACTTGCAACAAATCTGAGATAACTTTAAAAAGGTGTTAACTTTTAGAGAAAACTGAACTTAACTCCATTTAACCATCTTTAACGACCAACAAAGGTCGTCTTAGAGCTCGTCCCGTTTTTAACTGGACATGTAAGCCGGCCAAAGATGCATCTTGCCCACTTCAAGTGATAGAATATGCTCATTTTTGGTGAACTGTGCCAATCGTCTGACGTATAGAGGGGCAAGCTTAAAAACATTCAACCAAATATTATTTTGCTAATGAGATCGTAGCAAGACGACAAAAGGGAAGAATTTTCTCAACATTTTAAAATCTGAGATAAATCTGAGATTTAAAAAAAAGCGTTTGAACTTGGTTTTTGGAAATTAGCTTAGTTTAATGTCAGTGGAATCCGTTTTAACCTTATCTTTTTAGAACATTTATTTTTACTTATTTTTTTGCTTCTTTGTATATCTTTGGTGAACGTCAACTGTTTGAATCCTTTTACACCACCGTTTTACTTCCATTGAGGCTTTGTAAGGTCGCTCAACGTACAATAGCAACCTGACTATATGACTGTTACCTCCACCGGTTGTTACTTTCCACAATCTACTGTCGTTCAGAGATGTCTCCCCATTCGTACTCCACGCTGTAACTCCGATCTCGTAATCCCTTTTGCAGATCAACCGAAGAATGTACTGGGTTGTGTTCTTCGTCACCTTTACTGACGTCCATTCTGTGGAAGTGACTTCTTTGTGATAAACACTGTACGCGTGCACCGGGCATTGTCCTGTTATGGGAGCAGTCCACATCACCAATACAACAGAGTCATTCACTTGGTTCGC